TTAATCTTTATAGTTTCGTTGATAAAACACATTGTTCATTACCCGAATTTTTTTTATTTTAACTTCTCCTGCAAATGAACTTTTCTTACTAATTAAATCAGCACTTATGCACTAAATTTAATGACAAACTCTTCGTTTCAAAAAATTTATAGTAGCCAAAATAATGTTAAACGAAGTAATCTGTCATGCAAAAAGTAAACTGATTGAATCTATCTATAAGATAACTAGATATAAATTAGAAAATGTTCGGAAGACTATGAGGCCAAGGAATAATATAGAATATAGAAAGCAAAAAACTTAATACAATACTTACTATTTATTTATCTTACAGGAATCGGTACTTTCTAATACCATTGTGGTGTGGGCTACTTATAAGTAGTATATGACGTGAGCGTCAACGTAATGTCTGGCAGCCGAAGACGGGGGGAAGATCAAGAAAGGAAGAGTTAGAAAACACAATGGAATTTGTATGAAACACATGAATAGTAGTGACAATGGATTGATGTTTTGCAACAGGAACAGTCCAGTTCGATATGATGAACTGTTATTTTGCAAATGAACGATTTACGATATGGTTTTCCAACTTTACTGAGTAACTCTGTAATTTTCGTTAAATACAATTTCGGTTACCCCACCTGTGTTCTCTTTCACTACACCATGAATCTATGAAACAACGATTATCAGATATTACTTACTAAAATTAGTTGGGGTATAAACAAAAACTTTTTTTTAATTCTAATTTTAGTCAAAGATTGTAATGGTTGTTTACATGAGTGTAGAAATTTAGGTGAATTTCAACTAGTCAAAATACCAGTGGAAAGATGTTTTGTTCTCATTCCCACGATCTTCAGAAGTGAACATCTGTAACCATATATAAGCACGAGCATAAAATCCACAAATTCAAGCGGTGAGTTAAACACATTTAACCTGCTGATTGAAAATTCAATTGTCTAAATATTCTATAATTCAATCACAACGTACAATGCTACAGAAGTTATATCAATAAGTAAACACGTATTTCAGTAGACGAACAGTAAATGATATTTATTAATAATTACTTATGAATTGAAAAATCAATTATTTCAATGATGTCACAATACACTTTCGTGCAATTTGAAATTCAATCTAGTTTTTTTATTTTCTTTTAAACTTTAGTGATTATTTAACTTCTTCTACAGGCATGTATAAAAATCGATTACCGAAAGAAAATTGAATCGTGAATATTTTAGTGTTTTTCAACATTATGGTATTTCAGTTTCTATTTTAGTTTATAAATTTCTGCTTTAAAAATACATTATTACATAAAGCACACATACATATAAAACAAATTAAAATGTTACGTAGTCGAAATAGTAAGTACTGAATGATAATATCAATCAAAATATACCTTGTTTATTACCAAACAATTTTATCCTTATCCTCCCTCCATAGTACAATACTATCAAATAATAAAGAAGACTATCAGACAAATCAATCTGTACAGATATTGAAGATGGAAGAAACACTTATGTAAATAGACTTCATTGTCTTTCATTGACCAATGATCATTATTATGTTTGTCTATTTACTTTAGAGCCAACTGAATTTTACCAATCAAATTGAAATGTACCCCTACCAGTCTGAATAACTCAATATTCTTTTTGAAACAGATTGAAAATGTTTGGAGGTACCGATTTTCCGCCAGCTACTTCACAGCATGTACTGTTGTTTCATACATTTTCTATTAAGAAATTATTTAGTCATCCTTTGAAAAGAAACTAACAACTGATGAATTGATTTTATAATTTTAAAGTCTTATAAATCTTTAAAAAAAAATAACATATTCGACTGGTTATTCCTATATTGAATTGATGAGTGAACAGATGAAACAAATAACTTAGGTTAACTCCTTATTCCTAAGACATTTCCGCATGTTGAGAGTATTGTTTCGAAAAAAATAACTATATAAACAATGAATAACAATCTACCCATTTTCACTAATTTGAAAGAATATGTTTCGCAACTATAAAAATAATTCGTGAAATTAAAAATATCGACAATCTAACAACGGGTAAACTGATCAAACCAAAGAATATTCACATCACTCTAATTGGACACATGGAATAATATAATAAGATAAAATCAATTTTCCTTATTCTTCTACAATAACCACTTGTTTCGTTCAACGGGTTAGAAATAATTATTCAATTGTAAAGTGTAATATACTATATTAGTCAGTTGTTCATATTGATGAAATCAGTATCAAGAAAGCTTGTCACCAGAAACTTTTATTGTTCATTAAGCAGAATTGATTGTTTAATGTTTCCTTTCATTGACTTTTAACTCTTCTCAAAATTAATCTAACTAAACATTGGAATTTTTAAGCTGGAGATGATTATGTAATTACTTAACTGTTTCTAATAAAAATTCATTATTCAGCATATCTTACTAATAATGACAGATAGATATAGTTTCAATTAAAAATTATGGGAATTTAAATTCAAAAATCTGATAAATTTTATCATAGTTACGAATCATAATAAAAATTTGATCATCTTATCGAACAGTTGTCAATGAGATCACCATGTAAACATTTTAATTTAGTTGTTTTTCTTTTTCGACTCAATATACATAACTGTGAAAATAAACAATGAAAACCTAATTGAAATTAGAAAAACCACCAATCGGAACAACGCACCATTATAATGTTAATCGCTCATAAATGGTAATATTCATGTTATGTAAGTTTATTCTCTGAATTCTACACTTTTTTTAAGTTTACTATGATGATATTGATCTAAATGGTTAAATTGATCGGATTTTGTTATCTGAGATATAGAAGTTCTTTAATAAAACAACGCTACATTTGTCACTTGTTTTGTGTATCTCTCAAACACACTAAGAACCTAACTGTTGCGGCCGTAGATAATGAACAATTGTAGTACAAATGTTTATTTCTTCAAAATAAATGTCAACTGTTTAGCTGATTCAACTTATATTTACTTCTTTTTGTGTTTAGTGAAGTGATTAGAAAAAAATATTTCAAAGTGATGATTATGATTGACATAATGTTTAATCTCACTCAACTCAAATACAAGTAGAAATTTTCTATACTAAACATTTTTTTTCAATCATTTGTGTTCGCAATCATTTAAACACCAATGATATTTTAAAAATTCTATGCCTAATTAAAAATATTTATAAAATGAAAGGTTACAACAGTTGCGATTTTTCCAACAGTTTTCGAATAGAAAATTTATTGATAACTGTAGAAACACTCATAAAAAATATATATATATAAATCATTCAGGAATACAACAAGTGCAACTGATGTTATGCAGTACCATCTGCTTTCAAGTCAAAAAAGTTACTGTTAAACATCAATCATAATTAATACACAAATTAAATAAGCTGCCCTCTTACAGTTTAGAAATAAATCACCATGAGATAACAAAGATCACAATCTGATCGCTAAATAATAAAACCATGGTTGGTAAACCAAAAGTAAACTTAAAACACAAATGCTTCGTTTTTAGTGTTTCACACTTCCTCATGTATATATTATCTATAATCTATAAAACAATCTGTAGTGAGTGTACTTTTAAGCGCAGCCCACAGGGCTTGTCTCAGCTTATGAACAAATATGAACTAATTCATTCTTCTCGTATTACTCACGTCTTTTGACCTTGCCAATTATTCGTTTATCTTTAGGCTGTTTTTATTCGAGTTTTTGTATGCACAGCTTACTTCGCTCATTACTTATTTGTCTAGCTTATTTTTTTTTCTGACTAGAAATGCTTAGTCATGTTTGGTTGTATGGAGTTGGTTCATTCGCCTTATCCACTTCGCTTCGCTTCACTTTAATGTCTTGTATTCTCATATCTGTCTGCATGAACGATTGGCTGAAATCAACTCATCCAATCATACATGGATTCTTATTACCGCTGTCGCACAAACGGGATTCGCCCAATTATGTTATACGGAAACAGAAGGGGAGATTTAATTCATAGCCTATTTAATTGTTAATAGATGTCAGAGTTAGTTATATTGCAAGCCAGTAAAGTGGGGATTCCTACCGTAGAGTTAAACGTAGCCACAAATCCTTTCAGTTGATAAGTTTCTTTTCAAGTTATTGATTTATTACTAAAACCATCAAAGTTATACACATGTATGTATTATCATTCTTAACCACCTCTTAAACAATATCCTGAAATTTAAAGTAAAATTGTCATCAATTATAGAGAGCCGATTAGTATTCTATCTTAAGTCAGTCAGATGCAACGTAGAACTTTGTACATAAGTACATCAGTTCATGTTGCCATACCACATCAGCACAGAGAAGTAATCGTCAATGCAAATCCAACAGTAGAAGAGGTAGTAAGGGAATTAGAAGTAATCGGAGAGGTTAGGATTAGAAGATACTATTCAAGAAGTATGATTCAGTGAGAAAAGTTTAGAGAGTCGAAACTAGAGGGATGCACCGGCGCCATTGCGAACGATTTTGAGCCATGTCATTCAAGGTCTCTAACCATCAATTACTTTCATCTCGCGGACCCCAACCTGATAGTCGACAATTACCGACATGGCTCAGTCCACTAGTCAATGACTTCATGGATTTCTGCCATGTTTTGGTTTGGCCGCCCCTAGCTTTCTTCCAACCTATTCCTACACTACAAAACAAGGCTCTTAAAGGCAGATAACGTGTTGGTTTAGTCAAATTTTATTTTATTTTCATTCCGAACAACTTGATAACACTGTTTTTATGCAGAAAAAAACCCATGGTAATAGTCATAATATATACTTATAATAATAATACTAATAATAATAATGGAATGCAATTAACATATTAAAAATGAAAAAACAACACAATAATAATGATAATAATAAACGTTAGAAACCAAATTTTCCATTTTATATCAAAGCAGTTTTTGTACGTAACCAGTTAGTAGTGATGCATACATAAATGACCAAAGAAAATATATATCGAAACATTAAAAAATAAACAGGAAAGTAATTAGTTTATCGAAATAGTAGTAGTAGTAATAGTAATAATAATAATAATAATACTAATAACAGTAACAATGTCGTTCCCAGCAGTCAGCAGAAATGCCCTCTTCACATCTTCTGTTTTATCAGGATAAAAATCAAACACAGCATTAACAACAAGGATAAGAATAATCAGTATAATGATAGTAAGGCAGTGTACAAAAACTTTTAAGGTTTTCTCTAGTTCAATTGAAATATTACACGGTGAAGAGGGGAAGGTGTAGTAGACACATGTGTAAGAATTTTATTATTACATACATACATACATAGTGATACGATAGAAATGACCGAACAAGAAAAGAAAAGCGAAAATAACTAATTGACATTTCTTCATTGAAGAAACAGTTTACAATGAGATCGAATTACCATTTTGTGTTCTCTTCTTCTAAACATTACTACAAATAGGAAATAGAAAAAGTTATACACATTTCTGATCACAAGATAGGAATCAATAAGTGGATAGATAATAGGATATATAAGTTATATACCTGAGTACAGAAAATTAACTAGTGGTTTTAATGAGCTGAATTTCTTCAAATAAAAAAGAAAAAAATTCTGACTCCAAAATACTTAAAAAGACGAAGTGAAATTCATTCACATTGATGATAAGTGTGTAATGATCTGCTACTAATCATCAACAACAGAATAAGAAAGGATAACAATAATATTAATATTAACAATAATAATAATAATAATCGTAAAAAATAATACAATAAATATACAAAGTAGAAAAAAAAATAACACTTTTAAAAAAATGCATTATCCATGAGATAAATTCTAATCGAAGAAAAAAAATAATTTGAAATCTCACATTAAATACCAAATTGTCCAAAACGAGATAGTTTGTAGTTTTCATCACTAAAATTAACCGGATTTTGTTCACCGCCAACAGTATCATCGACACCTCTATTCTCATTGTTATCTTCTTCGTCAATCTTTCTATAACCGGAGAATGATGGACGTATTAAACAATTTGATGGTAAACCGGAATCTGTAGAGATTCTTTCATAAACACTGGGGAAACGACTGGAAGAATAGGGATTGGATGAAATAGTGGAACATTCAGTAGTAGTACCACAACGTAATAAATGAGCATCAGATTTATTAGTATCCGTAGAATTTAATTGATATGAATCGCTGGGATTTGGATGATTAGGACGAAAATTTGAAAGTATATCTGAAGTATAAGGCATTGTGGTGGCACTATAATGATCTGATCTTATCTGTTGTGTAGGTTGATCGAAACAGGAAGTACCAAAACGACTTGTAGTTGCAGTAGAAATTTCTCTGCTCTGAGAAATTCCCTCTTTTTGTGTCCAACTTTCATAAGGAGACTGTTCGTACATTTCAGATGAATGAACATGCTCAGGACTTGGTACATTGATTTTTACTATCATTGAGTCAGGCGGTTTCAAAGAACCTCGCAATACTCCAGGTATATTAAATTTCACATGACCACCATGAAATCCTTCAACGAATATACCGGGAAATTCAACTTGATATTGACCTGTTAACGGTTTAGGATTCTCTCTTCGTGGACGACCTAATGGAGGACTGTCAGATAGAAGACTACTACTGCAGCATTGACCATCATCTTGTAAGTTATTTTGTCCAAACATTTCATCAAATTGAAATATTGTTTCATCATCATTAATAATACTATTCATAAAACGATTGTTATTACTGCTTGTTGCTGTAGGGTTATTCATAAATCTACTGCCATTCCCTTTATCCTCATTCGATTCGAAAACATTATCACCATAATCTTGAATTCCAAAAAACCTTGAACAACTTCTTTGATTTGTGCTGAAATTTTCTTCTAAAATAAGCATTGTAAAAGATTAATGAATATAAAATGACCATATTTTACAATATTATCATTAGCTTTATACTTCATATATACAATGAAACCAGAAAAGGACACTTCTGATTGGTCACATATGTTATATATCTAAAAATAATTTCATCATCATTATGATTACTATATTACTATTGATAAATTATTGCTATTATTAACATCACAAGTTTTTTTTCTAAAGTCAGTAGTAATTGTGAACACGTTAAATTCTATTATCTTTTACTATTAACGATCAATGATTTAACAAATGTTAACAATAAATCTCACTTACAACTCAATACACGCACGTATGCATATATACTGATTTTTATTTGGTATATTCTGCTTTCATTACATGTTAGTATAGAAAATAATAGAAATACTCAATGAAAAAAGAGAGATAAGTTTTAGAATTAACTCTACAAACAATTAGATTATAGGATATTGCGTGGCCATCCGCTATTGCTTGTAATAGAAAACTATCTAATACGAAACATGGTTAGACTCCATTAGTCATGACTTCTTGTCACAGGCTAAGGAACTACATCTTGAATCTAATCACTAGTGATGATACGATTATTCTTAATGTTAGCGGGACATAGATTGGATTAAAGCATGATTGCGTTGTCGCACGCTGATTGGCTCTTTCGTGTCCAATCAGCGCTAGTCGATACTGACTGAGGGAACATTGTCTAATCTCCTCACGCTAAAACTATGAGTATACTAATGTTTTGAACTTCTCTGACTTCCACCTAACCTTGTTATTGGAATATAATCTATTTCCTGTTCAATCATGTTCTGATTTAGGAGAACGTTTCGAGTGAACTGTTGTCCAAGAATACTAAGCATTAGAAAATTGGGTTGTAATAAGAGAGAATTATGACACTTAGTATAGGGTTGATTTTGTGGACTAATCTCAGTGAAACAACCGCTTAAAGTAAAGCAATTCTCGATTTTGGTTCAGTGAGTTGGAGGTTAGGCATTTGAGACGACTGGAAAAAAAATCAGAAATCGCAAAAAATTAATGGTAAGAACCATAACAGAAATGTATCTGTGAGATTACTGAAAATAATTTCGTCAGATTCAATGGAATCGATTCGAAAATGCTAATCTAAAGAATAGTACCACTATACACTGATCTGATTCAGTAAAGTCTACTTCGGACAAATTATAACAGGCGATTTCTATTTGTTATGATTTATCAAAAATATTCCTATCAGACCGTGAACCTTAACTCGCATACCTATATATATATATATATATATATATATATATATATATATATATATATAACGGATAGAAGGAGAAAATCTGCACAAAATGAAAATATATTGACAAAGACTAGACAAAATCCATTTTTCAATATCAATAACAATATAACATCAAATCCTTTCGAATGATCATATCTGTTGAAAAAGCTAGTGGCTGATAGAACTCAAACACGTTGACTCTTAGAATGACAAGGTATGAGCTTCAATGTGAAAATCAATACTGAGATAAAGTAAGTACACCAAGTTACAACTCAAATATACTAAATGTTCATTTCAGTAATATAAGAAAAAACATGACTTTCATAATTACCAGTCAACGTTAAAATCCATGGAGATTTATCTAAATCATACTTTATGAATATTCCCTTTCAAATATCAAACTAATCAATATTTATATATAATTTACTAAATGATTTTTTAACTTTTTAACATAATTCATCTTAAGAGTTTGTGTACCATTTATATGTGGAGAAGGTGAATAAGAAGAGTTTCATACCATGGTGTTACAAAAGGATTAAAATCCCTCTAGAAGGACTTATTATGACGAAACTAGTTTGTGATCACCTGGAATCACTTTTGTGGAATTTGCTCTTATCACATTTCTCATCATAAACCATTCAGGAAGACTTCTATAAACGGTCACATAACACATTGGTCGGTATGTTAAAAACTTCTATTGCCCACAGTAAAACTCGACAATATAGCTAAAACAAGTCAAATATATAAATATAATACGAGTTGTGATATACGACTGAGATGGTTGAGAAAATTCGTAGTTCAGGTAGATGATTGTGGTAGTGTTTCGTTCTCTGAGTTGGATATTTTGGTTGTGAAGCTTTCATTGTTCTTTTGAACAATATCATCAGCACAAACTTCAGATAGAAGTGCTGACGATATAACACGATTACATTGAACAAACAAAATTTGATTCTATCATATTCAGGGAGTAGTTTTCACTTACAAAATACTAGATCATATTTTCCTATAAAATACTATCATATGTAAAACTGTCAGTTTAAAAATAAAATCTAGTTATCGTAAATAATATATCCCTATGGTGATTTAGTTGCCAATTTCAATGAGAATACTTTCACTATTTTCTTATTTTACTTTATTATTGCAATAGTATTCGGTATTAGATAGAGACTGTTGAAAAAAATAGCCTAGTTTGTGTATTATGAATTGGTGTTTAGATGAAACAATCAATAATTGTATAATTTAAATTCATGAATAATGTGTACATGGTGTAGAAAATTTCTAAAAGATTTTATTTTATCAATTTAATATAATAAAAATATTGACTAGTGAAATTTTGCTTAGAGAAAACTAAAAAACCTATTCTTAATGTTTAATATCGGAAAAGTAGGATTTTTCCATGAGTTCACAACAAAAAAAATACGTACACAATTCTATTATGTAATAATAATACATTATTTACACATGTTTCATACATGGGTTGGCACTGACAGAGAAAAAACAACTTAACAATTTTAAATAATTCCTGTTTAGATGAGGAAAAAAAAGCCAATCGAAATATCTCAACATATGAATCTCCCTTTTTGTTCAACCTGAATATGATTATTATTATCATTGTGATTATTACTACTAATTATTAACATTACATCTTACACCAAGTTAATATTGCTAGACAATAAAATAACAGTGACAAGATGAAAAAAAAAAACTTGATTATTCTATCCCTTTACAATCTACACAACATCACACTACAACTCATAAAACTATAGCTTTTCCCGGTAACTAATATTTGCACATAGTACAGACTATACTACTTGCAACAAAATTTCACCTGAAAGCAAGACAAATAAGGTGTAACGATTTCTTTTTCGTTAACTAGTTAATAGAATTAAAAAAACAACACCTGAACAATAAAACTTAAAGGAAACCTACACCAACTTATGAAATCAACCAGACAACATGTGCAACATTCACAGAAAAACATATACATTTCTTTTGTGAACTAAAAAAACTTCTAATAAATTGACACACACACACACACACAGAGATATCATTGTTAGTCTTGGTTGTTCTTCATCATTTTTACTCTCCACCATTTCAAAATCACATGAGTGTGATAATGTTGGTTGATCTTGTTGGAATAATGAAAAAAAATTATCTTGTTTATTCAAAATAACGAAGAAAAACACATCCACCTTTAAAATAAACAAAATATGCAAAATGACTACGTCTTTCACATTTTACTACGTCATCATTCTGCGTCATCATCATCATCATCTTGTCCAACCCAGTTCAGTAACCTAATTTTTGTTGATTTGTTTGTTTGTTTTATTCACTTGTAAATTTCCCTACTGGACAACAGATTGAATGAATGATGACTGATCGATAATGTCTTCAAAGTAAGTCAATATCCAATCAACAATCTTTCTATATAAATAGCTGTCTGTCTGTCTGCCTTTATATATATTGTCTCTATCTATTGTCTAAGTTCATTCATAGTACCGTAAATTATCACTTAATAATATGACTTTTAGGTTGTTGAACTAACCTACAAATCTGAATCCAGGTCAAAAAAAAATAAGTAGTAATTATTATTGTAATTAGATTTTGTTTCCAAATTATAATACAAATGATTATTTACAAATCACATGCAAAAATAATCAATAATTACGTACTGTTAGAAAGAGACTTTGATTACATTTTAAATATTATCAAATGTATTTGATATTAAAATAATTATTGTTATTATACACAATGTTTAAATAGGCTTGAATGATATGAACGCAACAAACTTTATTAAATAAAAAATTATAAACATAGCCCCACTGAATAAGAGTTATTCATACATTTCTTTTTAATATAAAAAAAAGTTGACAAGTTATGAGAATTAGAAAATAGGATATATGGAAACTTTCAAGAAGCCTACAATATTAAAACTGACATACTGTCAACTGGATAGTCTCTAAGTGACACAGTTGACTTCACAATGGTACTTTATCTTCTGAATTATCAGCAAACAGATCAGACGAGGAAAAAAAATTACTAAATCACTATTCCTGTGTCTAGCTTGATAGTTGTCTTTAACGCTGTAGTGCAGAGTATGGACTACATTCAGTGATGAAACTAAAGAAATAACTCTGTTTCAAACTCAACAACTCAGTTGTTAGTATCATTTATACCTTTAAATATCAAAATAATGAATCTAGTTGTAGAAAAATGTTTAAAAGGAAAGAAAGAAATACAAATGAGAACTATACACCATAAAAAAATTAAAAAGTAATAAATTGAACTATTATTTTTCCTTCAAATTAGACATTAGACTCCATTTCAATTATTCTATCAAAGTTCATAACAGTGTCTTCCTACTTGAAGTAAGCACATTAGTGATACAAACCAAAATAACGATGAAAACTTTATGATTAAACCAACCAGCTAAGAGATGGTAATTTTGTCAATAAAAAGATGATGGATCATGGAAATTGTTCAAAACCGTTTGCAAATGCACAGGTGCATCTATTGGTTTTGTTCTCTGAAATCCTAATCCCCCATATTCTATATCAACTTTATCTTTCTCTTTTCTAAGTTTATTTCACTAGATTATATATACTTCATGAATAATATCGTTCAACCCTAATCTCTCCGATTATTTCTAGTACCTCTACTACTACTATGGGATTTGAATGGATAATTTGATCTATCTGTACTAATTTGGTAGTATGGTAATTTGAACTAATGTACGTAACGTACAAAGTTCTATGTTGTAGTAACTGACTGACTATAACCATTTAAGAATTACTAGGCTAGTAATATAATTTAGTCTCATCATATGTGTTGATTTATTCAACATAAATCTATTCCGCATAACAAAACAATACAATCAAATATGTTTGATTGTGAAAGATAAACTATTATAATCTTTATACTGTTTATACATATATCTCTACATCAATGAACATATAAATTAAAACTGAACCAAAAGAGATAGACGTTAATATTGAAGTTACCTCACCTAAAACACACACACAGACTAGTTATATCAATATAAATATCAAGTAACAAATTCATTGTATAAAAATGTTATTTCCAGTTTCAATTTATGTAACAATGATATTCTTCATAGAATATTTTTACTTTACACTTCAATAAGTAGATCTACATGATATAAGTATAAAATCTGCTTTTTTTTACAATAATTATTAAATTTTATCAATATATATATATATATATAATATCAATAAATATTCTAAATACTTTTTTAAATTCTATGTATTGTATACCTATCTATTGACGTAGTAAAAAATATCAATACATAAAAAGGTAATAATAATAATAATAGTAATAGTACGTTTCTACATTCATATACAGTCTACTATGATACTAATAATAATACTTATCAATTACAGTAAAAATAATCTTTATTACAACAAGGCAACTGATCTTTTTGTATAGAATTTAAACCGTCCTACACTTATTAATAATTACCATAAGCAATTTCATACTTAATTATATTTAAATTAAGTGGTTGATCCCCCCAACTTTCGATAGTGCATTTAGTCAAGTTACATAAGCAAGCAATGAATACATAAGAAACGGAACAATACAGAGAGCAAGATATCAACAGCTAGATGTGTTTCATTATTACCAGAAGTTAAATCATAAATGTGATCATTTTCAAGAAGGTAGTCCTACAATATATTAGGGAAAAGTAATTGTTATATCATCGATGGGACACATATACATATCCATATACCTATATCACATAAACTTAGTAAACTCGTGAAGTCATGATTCATTATTTCGAATATTTAAATAATTACGTTAAAAAAATGTTATCATATATGATATCTGATAGTCTGACGGAAAAAACAAAGCGTGGAGAAAATATGAAGTCCATCTTTATAAGTAGATTTGTTTTACTTTAATGACTTGTAAGTAGTCAAATGTTTATAAACGTAAATTTTCACTTTTGGATGATTATTCAGATTATTCTCACTGAATGGAACAATAAACAACATCATTTTTAGAAGAAATACTCCTGTTCATTTTCAATTATGAAATATTTACCAATAATACTGTTTAGGATGCATCGAACTAAAAAAAAGTGAGCCGAATGGTGTATACGGGATTCGGCCATCTTCTCTCGATGAACAAACACTGGTCCTTGAAGTACAAAATAATTTTTTTTTATGTAATTTTAGTTTTTCGCATCAGTTAATATTACTATTTAAAATATAAAAACTAAATAATGTAAACTATTTAGATTCCTCCACAGTATTTAACTTTAACTAACTTCTCAAATCCGAAAAAAAAGGAGAGTTGGGAGTAGGATTAACGATCTTACTGCAATAACACCAATCAATGAATGATGAACTGCACATTTGAACGATACTGTGATAAAATTTAAAAAAATGTTTAGGCTTACAGAGTATGTATCCGCTACATTAAATAACCAAATGAAAACAATAATAACTGGCATCTTCTAAATGATTCACATTAAAATAAAGGAGGAACTATATGGCAATGATATATATATATGTGAAGTCAAGAAATAATAGGTGTTAAGTAGCTTCCTTGATAACTACTTACAGTCTACACTACTCAAGGATTCGAGTAATGAATAGTGAATATTGAAAGAAAGTTAAGGGTATCCGATATAATTCAACTCGACAATAAGATCAAACAATTGTTCAACAAATCCACACACACACTGTGTATCTATGGGTAACTTTGATGACATAAGCTAACAATATGAAACAGGTAACGAACACATGAGAAAAAAAGCAATAATGATAAAAACATGACTGGTTAAACTTCACTAGTTTACAACAATGATAGTTTTAACTCGAAAAATGTCTCAATCGTAGTGAGATCAAGTATAAATTATGAATTTAACTAATAAATTTTGTCTGGATAATACAAACACAGACATATTTATACAAAAGCACAACACAATTAATCAAAAATAAACTTTAAAAAACAATGAATGAGTTAGGAATAGAAATATTAAATTCAATGAAGAATTACCACAATTTAAAAATGCATTTATCTATCTATCAACCATATATACAGGGGATGATAAATGTCTCATTTTAAACAAAATAAGTCCGTGAACAAAATGCAATGATTTAAAGATATTTATAATCAAATAGCGATAACTTAGCATATTATTTGATTTTGAAAGCCAGTAATTTACACAGCTACAAATTAAAACAAAAATGATTGCTATGAGGTTACCGACTGATATTTAGTTTATTCCAAATGTCAAGTGAACCTTCTAAATCCGTGTCGTGATTTTTTGTTAAAAAAAAAACCCACTAGGCTGAAGTACACTTCGAAAACAAGTGAAGTAGTTGACACAACTCAATCAATTAATTCCTTTTAAGTTATATTTGGCAAAGATGAAGACCAGTAGACTAAGATATCGATCCCAAACAACCCTACTTTGTTACTAAAGTTGCTCAGAATAGTTTGCTTTTAATCGGTCTTTCCTAAATAGTAGTAATTTGTTTTATTTAAATGTCCTGGATCAGTACAACTTAAAGGTACATACATTGTTGATAAATTTAAAATGTGAATGACTCCTATGCAGCTTTTTTCTCACCTAATTACTCTTCAAATACTTTTTCAATCTCAATAACAGAAAATAATTTTTCAGGGGTCAAATTCGATTCATCAGTACCAAACAAAATAAAAGCACATTGAACCACAAAACATTACAGACAACTAACTAAAACAGTAAGAGATGATTACCTGACATTTGTTAATTGTTCAAGATTCTTTGTTTTATTTTGGTATTGTACTCAAGGTAGAATCAATCAAATAACTGAATGAAATGGCTATTCAAATTGGATTTTCAGAAAATAGTTTATTATCGACGGAAGTACTCCTTGTGAACAGTGGTGGTTACTTGACTTTTTGTAAACCTCGTAAGTAAATGTAGGCTCGCTAAACACATGTGCATATTGAAAAAAACAAGAAAATAACAAACAAACAAACAAACAAAAGACTACATAAATACGTGACAAATAAACAAATAAATAAGATGAAAATTATATAAAAAATTACATACATATGCATGCATATATATGCATAGACGTAAAATGATACATACGAACATTTTTAAACTACAGACAGGAATGTCAGTATTTCTTCTTGTTTCAATTCACAGATTATAATATGTGAATAGAGTAACATTATTGTGAATAAACTTGAAAAGGTATCACATGAGCTACTGTGACCGATTCATAGAGAGAGAGAGAGAGAGTAGAGGAACCCCTATCACAGATTACAAGTAATAGACTTCGTTTAAAATTGCATTTTAAAAAAATACTAAATATGTAGATTGAAACACAAACGTTTCCCGTTCACTGTACTGTTTGTTACTTGATGAAATATAAATAACAAACAAGTACGCATGGTGATATATAGACAATTAAGAATGAAAACCAACATATTCCCTTTGAATCATAAAATATAAAATCTTACTCAAGGTTATTGTTCATCAAAAAAAAATGATATGAAATGAATTTTTGAAGGAAAAATAAGTAAAAAAAATATTGCTGGCAATTTTAGTTCAGGGTTAAAAATTAGTTGAAGCGCATAAAACTAATGGAAATGAGCAGCTTTCTTCTTTGGAAAATAACAATTGATGGTTTGAATAGATGTTCTCAGTTAGCCAACCACAATTGATATACACAGCCTCCCATAAATATGAGTCAACTCGAACTCCCACATCAATTAAGAACAATGATATGGAATTAACTAGATAATTAATGGTAGAGTCGAAACTATAATAATAACGACAATTATAAGGAAGATTAGGCGTAAGAGAATACAGTTCCGACAGACTAAGTGCATTAGATGAATAAAATGTACCAAATAATATCGATCAACTTTCGAGTCGCGTCACTCAACCTCTTCAACTGCAAATTCCAGTTATTTCGTAGACCCCACCAACCAGGTAGTCTGAAGCTATCAACACAGACCAGACACAAAGTTAACAACTCTTTGAACATAAATAATGCTACTGAGATACCTATGGTCAAATAATTTCAGCCTACCTATAGCTATCATTTTCACATGTCATTACAAATGACGCAAGTTCGTAAACGCCAAAAGAACATTCGAAATGTGTGTTGAGATTTAATTAGATAACAGGGTCGGTGAAGATTCCGATATAAGTGAAGTGAAGTATCTCGTAACACAAGTATATTACGTTTTCACCACTCACTAAATTGCTAACATTTTACTTATTTCAATGAAGGTGATCTAACTGTCAACGAATACGGTAGTGGTAAAATACCATAATGTTTCTCATATATTTCACAGACTGTTTGGGCTAATCAAATAGTATAAATATGAGAGATGACCACTAAATATACTCGATCATTTCATTCTTTATCAATAATAATAATAATAGTAATATTATGGGATAATCACTGAATATCACATTCTATGTCGAAGATAAAACACATGCACAAAGTCAGTAGTCTCTAAATTTCAATTGAACTATTCCAATAACTAACTGTCTATTGTCAGTGTTTCCAAATGTGGTAAAAATACATAAAAATTACAATGTAACTTTATTCGACCATTACTAGAAAAGTATTTTCTTTTTATACGACAACTATTTCTATAATTCAGTGATATAATAATAAGATGAAAATATACATTTAATCCAAATTATAACAATTAAAATTGCCTACTTACCACAGTGATATTTGTACTTGCCAAGTGTTTTGATATTAACAGTAGATTCATTTATATCTCAGACAGTTAAGTTACTAACGTACACTTATAGACAGTGGAACAAGTTCACTGCTTTGAAAAAAAAAAGATTTGACACATATGAAGAAGATGAGGCATCAGAAATCATTGGTTGAGTCATCTTAAAATAAAATATTATCAACTGGACACACATAATTTACCATCTCTCATTTGTGCATTTCATAAAAAATATAAACCAATCGATTGGCTTAAAACATAGTTGAAACTACTCCCCCCTTTATTTTAGCATATCAAACAGCAATGTGATACATGCATACACAATACATAACTGCACCAATTCAGCTTAAGGTTGAATGATGAGCTGTGTTGGGCTAATCTAGTTTACATATTATGATAACGTCATCACATAAAAAAGGCATGTGTCAAATCTGACCTAAAGATATTTGAAAAGCAAAAAAAAAATTATGTGATTCATGATATTGGCATGCCTGAGTCAGGTAACGATCAGATCACAAAGACGAGCACTTATTTTATTTGATTGTGATTAGAAAAATAGCTTATTTCTAAAATTGAAAAGATAAACATGCTCGCAGTTTTAGCACTGTATTGCCGATCAATTTAAAACAAGCGGAACAACATTTTAGATTCGATCTGGCAATATTCATTTCTATGATTATTACAGTCTACGCAAATATATATAGTTATGAATGTTTGACGATGAATAAAAATAACAAGCGGCTAAATTGACTAAGAAGGGTCATTGATATAAGACATTTGAAGTGGACGGTTAGTGTTATCGAAACATGAAAAATCCATTACTCAACCACACGACACTAATATCTTAGGCGAAAACAACACAAAGAAGTAACTCATTGATTTTATGAATAAAAGGTATGCTTGCTTATTTTTTGATAGATTCGTAAACTTCACTTCAGTTTCAGTTTAAATATGGTAGCATTGGCGTTTTAAACAAGGATTGAAAGTAAAAATGAACTAGTGTATATTACGAAGTTTAAAGTTAATAACTTATTTGTTTGTTTCGCATAAATATTATCTTGAATAATGATGAAGTTTCAGGAGATTTAGCAATTCAATTAGACTTTTACATGTGGCTGAAATGAACGCCAACTAAATCACTGTATAAACTAAAAAAATAAAGCGTTTAACTTGATTTCATAAAATTGCATTACACAAGTTGCTGCACTTCCTAATGTCTCAAAGAAAGAACAACTGAGAGCTCTATAGAAGTCAAACAAAGATTATAATAGAATGTCAATACAGTAAACTGTACTGAATCATTATGCAGCGTTCATTAACATAGATCGAAACCTAAACTATGTGTTACTTGAAGGTGTTGAGCAGCTGAAACACAAACTACCATCCCCACAGTAAAAATTGGTTAATACACACATTGAATCCTAATTTATAGAAAATCGAAGGCCACTGTGACAATCAAATATGATGTGGAAAAAAATTTTTTTTACTGGTATTCAAAAAAACCACACCACCAAAGAATTGAGTGAATATAAATAGTCTATCCGATTGCTAGTGGAAAAACGTTCTATGAATACTTGAATAAATATAAAGCTATGTAATCTAGGGAGGTATAATCAGTATGTTTGTCGAATATAAATAATTATGATCAGTTACACAGAAGAAAAAACATACAAAATAAGCCATGGATTAAGTTGACTAAACAACAATTAAACTATAGCAAACTTTATAGTTCGGTGGAAGTGGATAGGACACACACTATGAAAAGCACCTAACTGCATCACGATACAAGCCCTCACATGGAACCCTCAAGGCAAAAGGAAAAGATGAAGGCCAAGGAATACATTACGCCAAGAAATAGAGAAAGATATGAGAGCAATGAACAAACATTGGACAGAACTGGAGATAGAAGCCCAGGACAGAGTTGGTTGGAGAAAACTGGTAGGCGGCCTATGCTCCATTTTGGGTAACAAGCGTAAGTAAGTAAGTAAACTTTATAGTTAATTATTAATGAAGTAACTATGAGTAACTATGACTCTCTTAAGGTAGCCAAATGCCTCGTCATATGAGGGGCGGATTGCCGACCTGCCTGAGCTTGCCTCAGGATTACGCAATGTGCTGCCTTTAGGGGGTTGTGGTGGCGACTACCTCTTCGTGGTCCCGCCAGGCAACGTGGTGGTGGCAACATCGCTGCGGCTAAACGTCGTTCCGATCGCTGGGGATTCCGTGCTTTCCACGGTCCGGATAATTGGCACGCTCATGGTCGCAAGGCTGTGGATGCGTCTGACCAATCTGGGGGATTAAGACTGAACGACTCTAGGTCCGAATCCCGTCCTTAAGCGTAGGTAAACTACCGAAAGCGATGTAGTAGGGTGATCGAGGGCGGCCCTGGACCCTATGTTAGGGGATGCAGCCGCAGACATCCTGTACTACTGACGCCGACCCTATGTGGTTGTCCCTTACATGCTTCACTCGATGTTGTGTGTGAACTGGCGTCGAGGACCCTTAAACAAGGGTCTCAAGTTGGGTTCCGGTGCTTTAGTGCTGTAAAAGGCATTGAACACCAATGATGTCTGCCCACTTCTGTGGGATGAGCCCTGCTTGGCTGAGCGCTTGCGTTTGGTCGAGTTCATGACATCTTCCTCATGGAAGAGTTTACGTTCTAGCTGACCTTGTGGGACAAACTCGATCTTTAGCTTTATGTGGGGTAAGATGGGCCTCGATCGATTGTATCAACGCAAGGCAGTTGGAGGCCAGACGGTTGGAATGGCTACTGGTTAGTGCACTGCTTGGGTGGCTCGGTAACCTGCTACGGGGTGCCTTGTCCGGAAGGATAAGCCCGCCTTGCCGCCCTCGCCGATTGGGGATTGTGGGCTGTGGTTTGGTAGGTGGGATCTCTTGATTCATAAGTGCCTGTGCAGAGGCCACTGCTCGTGTGCGCGCTTTTTGGATGTCCGATATGTCTGCAGACCAAACCGGACAACATGTATGTACCCGAAAGGGGCAGGGGTGATTACTGACGGCATCAGTGAGAATCCTTGTGCTGTATATCAACGCAGCGATGTGCATGTGCAGCAGGCATGTTGGTTGACCAAGAATATAGTTAATTATTAATAAAAATAAGCCGGCAATAGAAAGTAAATGAAATCGATAAAGCAATTTACGAAACCGTTAATTAAAACGTAACTCTATAAACCTCTATCAACAAGTTCCATGACATTGATTGTTATGAGTTTTCTTGAACATAATATCTATCATCCATTTAGGAAGTTTTAAGCTTAAAGATAAAATAAGCATTCGTTTAGAGGAGTAGAGCAATTTTAGAATGACTGAAGTTAAGATTTCAGTCAATAACATCAGCTTGTAATATTGTGAATAGGATTTACGTGGTCTGAAAGACTTACAATGCATTTCATTTGTATATCAGAAAAACTAAAAATACAAAAGAGTATTCTAAAATACTACCATTATATAACTTCGTTATGGAGTTGTGGAAATTGTTACTTATTAAATAACTCCTTACTACCTTTACAGAGCGATGAATATTCGACTAATTAATTATCCTATCTTAAATGGGTATTAAATGTTAATCAGTGCAAAAAATATTCAAGAAGGTATGAGTGTTTTAGCTCACATTTCATGAAACATTTTCACATCTAACTAGACATTAAATTCCCGTCACTAAATCGTCTGAAATTCATTTCATCAATTCATAGTATTATCCAAATGTTAATGTCTAAACTAGGTTTCCATACTATTTTTAATAACATGGTATTTTGAGATTACTCAGAATATAAAGAGAAAGAAAAACCAGTTCACTCAGATTATGGGTTGAAATTCCAGGTCAAGTTAGTGATTTCCACTGATTTCCACAATCGATTTAATGAGCTAAATTGATTTTTCATTCAATCTAGGTCAGTATTTATTCCCAAACATTTCGTGAACGTTCTACCTCGTGTGTATTACGTCATAAAATGGCCATGAAGTTTCTAATTAGAGTCATAACGATTAAAACATTGATTTTGGCATTAGATTTCACTATTTTTAGGGGTATTTATGCGAGAGGCATGTTTTAAACATCAGCTTAATTTGAAGCGAAACACCAATATTAGCGTTTTCTTTTACAATCATAAGGTCATCGTCACGTTGTTAGACATTTTTCTTTGATTCATCATTATTAATCGGTCATCTTCAACAGCTGCTCACCACTTGTGCCATCAGTCCGTAGTTCAGCATCACAGAAACAATATATACTTGTGATGATCATGTGGACACGCATCATAATCAGTTAAAGTCATCTTATGAAACATCAACATTTTCTATTATTTCCGACTGTATGAAGTATTGATCCCGGATATTGACCTAGAGTTTAAATGCATTCAAATTTTAACATAAGAAATGTGTTATCATTCCGTATGAATACTTTGGTCACTAATTTAGATAAGACGTTCAAGTAACTGAATCTGATGAAATTAAATCACAGAGTAATAGTTTCGATTCAAGCTTGTACAAGTGAATCTGTTGTTACCTACATACTGTGTTGTAATCTACTGGCAAGTGATGAGATTATGATAACCTAATATGGTAAGTAATCACAAACTATGCCGCTATGAATATGGTCAGTTATTAACAGTTGGAAAGCATCCATAAAAAACGTTATTCTGATAAAAAATTTTGATAAAGCGTTTAATCAGATTGCATATGAAAGTTCCAAAACCCGTTTAAGTTTATGAGTTTGTAGTCACAGGCTAGATCTTAGTATTCTTGACAGCTAATTCGAATAAGTAATCTAACTAGTCAGAATTTTATTTGTATAGAACACACATCAAACGCTAATTGTTTTAAACTCCATTATAAAGGCTTCTATTAAAATGCCTTGAAGTTTAGCCAAATAGGATACAAACTGTTTACATTTGTCAGATGGTCTTTAGCTACTAATAGTAGATTGATTTCGAGTCTCCAGCTATCAGTGAAGTGGAAATAAGTGTGACTAATATGGACCAAAATAGAAAGTACCCAATCCAGGTGAGATCGGGTTAGAGATCTTTAAGGATGGTGGCTTCAACAGCTAAATTGATCAAGCTATTATTCACAGTTAG